AATGAGATGCCGGACACGTGTTTTCTTTCCTGAAAACGTATAAAAAACTCCCAAACGTTTACTTAGAAAATAGTCGCGCTATAAACTAACTTATTCAGCGAGATAGTCCTGTTGCCAGTCTTCTAAAGCGATAAATGGAGAAACGAGAACTGCCGTCGGTATGTGGTTTATATACGAGGACAAATTGTCGGCGTGTACTTGAAAGAGTTTGTGAAAATGAATTTAAGTAGCGCTACAGGGAACGCAATACCTAAGATTCAAAAGGAATTTTTTAAAATGAAAAAAAAAATTCTTGAAGCTTCTATTTTAGTTTAAATTTCCAGCTAATAGATTAAATTTAATATTTCCAATAAGCAAATTACGTTGCTGTATCTCCAAAACCAATTTAAATTGACAGGAAGGAATTTTTTTTAATTTTACTAAAACAGCTGATTAGTGTCCTTTTTAGTCTTCTTTCATCGAATTGTAATTTATTATTAAAAGATCTTCCAAAAATAAAATATTCTTTTGAAACTTTCTTTGGGGAATATTAGCTGATTTAAAATATAATTAGTCTGATTTGAAACAAATTATTTACTTTAAGTAAACATGGCAGTAAGCTGTTGACATGTTTGACAGCTCAATGACCAATTCATGTTTAATCTAATGTCGTTCTATGCGTGTTTTAACCGTAAAAATAATTAAATATAACGTGAGCGCATTTTAGATATAATTTTTAAGTACTCAGTAATCTTAAAAATTTAAGAAAAGATTCTCCGTAATCTAATATTTTATTGAATTTTAGGTACTTTCTGGATTTAAATTTACAATAGTTATCGATCTTATTTTCTGATAATGTCATGTATGGACACCCGTATCTACAAAAATCGGCACGTTTATATACATACAGATTCTTTTAAAATATTGGGGTTTAATTACTTGTAATACGTTTTTCCAGTTATGATTAGTAAATATAGTTTTTGCTCAATAATTACATCATCTAAAAGGGTGAAATTAATACAGAATTTTAAAAATATTAAAACATAATAAATTATACTAATTTAATTTTTTTTTTTAAATGAGAACAATGCATATAAAAATTCATTATTCATCGAAAAATTGTTTTTAATCTTTAATATATTTTATCTTTATAAAACAATTACAATCTTTTCTAATTAAATAATGTCATAATTGCTTTGCATTTTTTTAATTTACGACTCAGAGCAGATTTTCAGTAAATGGTATATCTGTTTGGCAAAAAGCAAATTGATGATTTAAATTCCCCCCCAAGTCCTGCTTTTTAACTAATATGAAGGGAATAGAATTCTAATTTCTTGAAATTTCATAAAATTAAATAAGCCGGGGATAACAGATATGAAAAAAAAAAAACATATATTTTTAAGAAGATTTTCTAAAATCACTCAAAAGTAATTTCATTCATTTGGGAATAAGTTTTGAAAATTTGATTAAAATCCGATAATTATTATTTTTCAAATAATTTCCAAAATAATGTGTTTTTTTTTTTTCGGCAAAAAAGACGCTAAATATTTCACCCATCCGCTGACGCAAGATAAACAAGATATTTAACCCAAATTTCGGACGTGCTAGAAAGGATAATAAAAAAACTAATAAAGTAAAAAAATAATTTAGTCGTTCCTCTTAATAATAACACAAAACTTTTGACAATTTTATCAAGCTTGGGTCTTTTATTATCATGGTATTCCCTTTACAGCGAATGTTTAGAGGTGCCTAGTATAGATTAATAACCATTACAGAAGGTCGTAAGACAAAAAGTTAAGAAAATGTCATGGATAGACGAGAGCGGAAAGATGAACGGTGTGATGGGTGAGAGAGGCGGATAGCGAAAAATAAGAGATGAAGAAAAGAAACAGCGAAGAATAGGGATCAGGGAAAAAGAGATGGTGATGAATGGGAGAAGGGGAAAAGAGACGGTGACGAATGGATAAAAAGCGATGAATGAGACATGTGGAAAAACACACAGTGAAGAATGTGGGATGGGGTGAAAGAGGCAGTCAAGAATAGAATATAAGAAGAAAGAGCGAAAATGTGTGATGGGGTAAAAGAGACAATGATGAATAGGATATGAGGAAAAAGACACAGTGAAGAATGTGGGATGGTGTAAAAAAAGAGGCAGTCAAGAATAGAATATACGAAGAAAGAGTGAAAATGTGAGACGGGGTAAAAGAGACAATGATGAATAGGATATGAGGAAAAGACACAGTGAAGAATATGGGATGGGGTAAAAGAGGCAGTCAAGAATAGAATATACGAAGAAAGAGTGAAAAATGTGAGACGGGGTAAAAGAGACAATGATGAATAGGATATGAGGAAAAGACACAGTGAAGAATATGGGATGGGGTAAAAGAGGCAGTCAAGAATAGAATATACGAAGAAAGAGTGAAAATGTGAGACGGGGTAAAAGAGACAATGATGAATAGGATATGAGGAAAAAGACACAGTGAAGAATATAGGATGGTGTAAAAGAGGCAGTCAAGAATAGAATATACGAAGAAAGAGTGAAAATGTGAGACGGGGTAAAAGAGACAATGATGAATAGGATATGAGGAAAAAGACACAGTGAAGAATATGGGATGGTGTAAAAGAGGCAGTCAAGAATAGAATATACGAAGAAAGTGTGAAAATGTGAGACGGGGTAAAAGAGACAATGATGAATAGGATATGAGGAAAAAGACACAGTGAAGAATATGGGATGGGGTAAAAGAGGCAGTCAAGAATAGAATATACGAAGAAAGAGCGAAAATGTGGGACGGGGTAAAAGAGACAATGATGAATAGGATATGAGGAAAAAAAAAAGACACAGTGAAGAATATGGGATGGGGTAAAAGAGGCAGTCAAGAATAGAATATACGAAGAAAGAGGAAAATGTGAGACGGGGTAAAAGAGACAATGATGAATAGGATATGAGGAAAAAGACACAGTGAAGAATGTGGGATGGTGTAAAAGAGGCAGTCAAGAATAGAATATACGAAGAAAGAGTGAAAATGTGGGACGGGGTAAAAGAGACAATGATGAATAGGATATGCGGAAAAAGACACAGTGAAGGATGTGGGATGGTGTAAAAGAGGCAGTCAAGAATAGAATATACGAAGAAAGAGGAAAATGTGAGACGGGGGTAAAAGAGACAATGATGAATAGGATATGAGGAAAAAGACACAGTGAAGAATATAGGATGGTGTAAAAGAGGCAGTCAAGAATAGAATATACGAAGAAAGAGTGAAAATGTGAGACGGGGTAAAAGAGACAATGATGAATAGGATATGAGGAAAAAGACACAGTGAAGAATATGGGATGGGGTAAAAGAGGCAGTCAAGAATAGAATATACGAAGTAAGTGTGAAAATGTGAGACGGGGTAAAAGAGACAATGATGAATAGGATATGAGGAAAAAAGACACAGTGAAGAATATGGGATGGGGTAAAAGAGGCAGTCAAGAATAGAATATACGAAGAAAGAGCGAAAATGTGGGACGGGGTAAAAGAGACAATGATGAATAGGATATGAGGAAAAGGACACAGTGAAGAATATGGGATGGGGTAAAAGAGGCAGTCAAGAATAGAATATACGAAGAAAGAGTGAAAATGTGAGACGGGGTAAAAGAGACAATGATGAATAGGATATGAGGAAAAAGACACAGTGAAGAATGTGGGATGGTGTAAAAGAGGCAGTCAAGAATAGAATATACGAAGAAAGAGTGAAAATGTGGGACGGGGTAAAAAAGAGACAATGATGAATAGGATATGCGGAAAAAGACACAGTGAAGGATGTGGGATGGTGTAAAAAGAGGCAGTCAAGAATAGAATATACGAAGAAAGAGTGAAAATGTGAGACGGGGTAAAAAGAGACAATGATGAATAGGATATGAGGAAAAAGACACAGTAAAGAATATAGGATGGGGTAAAAGAGGCAGTCAAGAATAGAATATACGAAGAAAGAGCGAAAATGTGGGACGGGGTAAAAGAGACAATGATGAATAGGATATGAGGAAAAAAGACACAGTGAAGAATGTGGGATGGTGTAAAAGAGGGCAGTCAAGAATAGAATATACGAAGAAAGAGTGAAAATGTGAGACGGGGTAAAAGACAATGATGAATAGGATATGAGGAAAAAAAAGACACATTGAAGAATATGGGATGGGGTAAAAGCGGCCGTCAAGAATAGAATATACGAAGAAAGAGTGAAAATGTGAGACGGGGTAAAAGAGACAATGATAAATAGGATATGAGGAAAAAAGACACAGTGAAGAATATAGGATGGTGTAAAAGAGGCAGTCAAGAATAGAATATACGAAGAAAGAGAAAATGTGAGACGGGGTAAAAGAGACAATGATGAATAGGATATGAGGAAAAGACACAGTGAAGAATATAGGATGGTGTAAAAGAGGCAGTCAAGAATAGAATATACGAAGAAAGAGTGAAAATGTGGGACGGGGTAAAAGACAAATGATGAATAGGATATGCGGAAAAGACACAGTGAAGGATGTGGGATGGTGTAAAAAGAGGCAGTCAAGAATAGAATATACGAAGAAAGAGTGAAAATGTGAGACGGGGTAAAAAGAGACAATGATGAATAGGATATGAGGAAAAAGACACAGTGAAGAATATGGGATGGGGTAAAAGCGGCCGTCAAGAATAGAATATACGAAGAAAGAGTGAAAATGTGAGACAGGGGTAAAAGAGACAATGATGAATAGGATATGAGGAAAAGACACAGTGAAGAATATAGGATGGTGTAAAAGAGGCAGTCAAGAATAGAATATACGAAGAAAGAGTGAAAATGTGAGACGGGGTAAAAAGAGACAATGATGAATAGGATATGAGGAAAAAGACACAGTGAAGAATATAGGATGGTGTAAAAGAGGCAGTCAAGAATAGAATATACGAAGAAAGAGCGAAAATGTGGGACAGGGTAAAAGAGACAATGATGAATAGGATATGCGGAAAAAGACACAGTGAAGGATGTGGGATGGTGTAAAAGAGGCAGTCAAGAATAGAATATACGAAGAAAGAGTGAAAATGTGAGACGGGGTAAAAGAGACAATGATGAATAGGATATGAGGAAAAAAGACACACAGTGAAGAATATGGGATGGGGTAAAAGAGGCAGTCAAGAATAGAATATACGAAGAAAAGAGTGAAAATGTGAGACAGGGGTAAAAGAGACAATGATGAATAGGATATGAGGAAAAAAGACACAGTGAAGAATATGGGATGGGGTAAAAGAGGCAGTCAAGAATAGAATATACGAAGAAAGAGTGAAAATGTGAGACGGGGTAAAAGAGACAATGATGAATAGGATATGAGGAAAAAGACACAGTGAAGAATATGGGATGGGGTAAAAGAGGGCAGTCAAGAATAGAATATACGAAGAAAGAGGAAAATGTGAGACGGGGTAAAAGAGACAATGATGAATAGGATATGAGGAAAAAGACACAATGAAGAATATAGGATGGGGTAAAAGAGGCAGTCAAGAATAGGATATGAGAAAAAGAGCGAAAATGTGGGACGGGGTAAAAGAGACAATGATGAATAGGATATAAGGAAAAAAGACACAGTGAAGAATGTGGGATGGGGTAAAAGAGGCAGTCAAGAATATGATATGAGAAGAAAGACGATAATGTGGGACGGGGTAAAAGAGACAATGAAGAATAGGATATAAGGAAAAAGACACAGTGAAGAATGTGGGATGGGGTAAAAGAGGCAGTCAAGAATAGGATATGAGAAGAAAAGATCGATAATGTGGGACGGGGTAAAAGAGACAATGAAGAATAGGATATGAGGAAAAAGACACAGTGAAGAATGTGGGATGGGGTAAAAGAGGCAGTCAAGAATAGGATATGAGAAGAAAGAGCGATAATGTGGGACGGGGTAAAAGAGACAATGATGAATAGGATATGAGGAAAAAGACACAGTGAAGAATGTGGGATGGGGTAAAAGAGGCAGTCAAGAATAGGATATGAGAAAAAAGTGCGAAGAATGTGGGATCGGATAAAAGTGACAGAGAAGAATAGGACATGAGAAAAAAAGATAGAGCGTAGAATGTGAGACAGGATAAAAGTCACATGAGACATGAGAAAAATGATATAGGGAAGAATATGGGATGTGGTAAAAGAGACAGTGAAGAATTAGACATGAAGAAAAATATAGTGAAGAATGTAGTTCATGGTAAAAGAGACAAGAAGAATAAGACACGAGGAAAAAGATTCAGTGTAGAATGTGGGTCGGGGTAAAAGAGATACTTAAGGATGCGATATGAGGAAAAAAAGATACATTGAAGAATGGGGTACAGGGGGAAAGTGATAGTGAAGAATGAGACATGAGGAAAAAGATACACTAGAGAATCTGGGACGGGGTAAAAGGGACAATGAAGATTAGGACATGAAGAATAAGATAGAGTGAAGAATGTGGGACGGGGTAAAAAAAAAAACAGTGGTGAATGGGTCATGGGGAAAAATACAGTGAAGAATATGTGAGAGGGTAAAGTGAAAGTGGAGAATGGTACATGAGAAAAAATATACAATGAAGAATGTGGGACACGGTAAAAGTGAAAAAAAAAAATACAATGAAGAATACGGGACGGGGTAAAAGAGACAGTGGAGAATGAGACACGAGGAAAAATAGAGAGTGAAAAAGGTAGGAAGAAGTAAAAGAGACAGTGAAACATGGGACATGAGGAAAAATTCTGTGAAGAATGTGGGACGGGGGTAAAAGAAACAGTTGTGTTTGGCACATGAATGAATGATGTGGGATGGGGTAAAATGGAGAGTGAAAATGAGAGAAGAGGGAAAGATTCAGTGTAAAATATGGGGTGGAGGAAAAAAATAGGACATGAGGAAAAACATTGAGTACAGAATGTGGTCAAGGTAAAAGAGACAGTGAAGAATAGGACACGAGAAAAAGATACAATGAAGAATGGCGGAAGGGGTAAAAGATACAGTGAAGAATAGGACACGAGAAAAAAAAGATACAATGAAGAATGGTGGACGGGGTAAAAGAGACAGTGAAGAATAGGACACAAGAAAAACGATACAATGAAGAATGGTGGACGAGGTAAAAGAGACAGTGAAGAATAGGACACGAGAAAAAAAGATACAATGAAGAATGGCGGACGGGGTAAAAGAGACAGTGAAGGATAGTACACGAGGAAAAAAGATACAATGAAGAATGGCGGACGGGGTAAAAGAGACAGTGAAGGATAGGACACGAGAAAAAAGATACAATGAAGAATGGCGGACGGGGTAAAAGAGACAGTGAAGGATAGTACACGAGGAAAAAAGATACAATGAAGAATAGCGGACGGGGTAAAAGAGACAGTGAAGGATAGTACACGAGGAAAAAAGATACAATGAAGAATGGCGGACGGGGTAAAAGAGACAGTGAAGGATAGGACACGAGAAAAAAGATACAATGAAGAATGGCGGACGGGGTAAAAGAGACAGTGAAGGATAGTACACGAGGAAAAAAGATACAATGAAGAATGGCGGACGGGGTAAAAGAGACAGTGAAGGATAGGACACGAGAAAAAAAAGATACAATGAAGAATGGCGGACGGGGTAAAAGAGACAGTGAAGGATAGTACACGAGGAAAAAGATACAATGAAGAATGGCGGACGGGGTAAAAGAGACAGTGAAAATGTGGGACAGGATAAAAAGCGATAACGAAGAATTGAACATGAGGAAGATACAATTAAGTATTTGGGACTGGGTAAAAAAACAGTAAAGAATGGCGTACGGGATATAAGAGACAGTGAAGAATTGACACGAGAAAAAACGATACAATGAAGAATGGCGGACGGAGTAAAAGAGACAGTGAAGAATGGCGGACGGGGTAAAAGAGACAGCGAAGAATGGCGGACGGGGTAAAAGAGACAGTGAAGAATAGGACACGAGAAAAACGATACAATGAAGAATGGCGGACGGAGTAAAAGAGACAGTGAAGAATGGCGGACGGGGTAAAAGAGACAGCGAAGAATGGCGGACGGGGTAAAAGAGACAGTGAAGAATAGGACACGAGAAAAACGATACAATGAAGAATGGCGGACGGAGTAAAAGAGACAGTGAAGAATGGCGGACGGAGTAAATGAGACAGTGAAGAATAGGACACGAGAAAAAACGATACAATTACGAATGGCGGACGGGGTAATAGAGACAGTGTAGAATGGCGGACGGGGTAAAAGAGACAGTGAAGGATAGGACACGAGGAAAAAGATACAATTACGAATGGCGGACGGGGTAAAAGAGACAGTGAAGAATAGGACAAGAGGAAAAATATACAATGAAGAATAGGGGACGGGGTAAAAGATACAGTGAAAAATGTGGGACAGGATAAAAGCGATAACGAAGAATTGAACACGAGGAAGATACAATGAAGAATGGGGGACGGAGTAAAAGAGACAGTGAAGTATGGAAATGAGGAAAAAGAGGAAAAAATGTGGGACAGGATAAAAGCGACAACGAACATGATGAAAATGAAACAATAAATAATTATTGATTAGGACAATGCGACAGTGAATATTGGGAGATTAGGAAAATGAGATATTACAGAATGTGGGACAGAAACAGCAAGTAAAATGGAGATGCTGAAAAAGAAACAGCGAGGTATGGTGGAACGCGTGAAAAAACATCGAAGAATAAAAAATCGTAAAGAAAATTTTAAAAAGTAAACATCAATAAATTTGTGAAAATATTTTTTTAAATGGACGAAATTTTTATTTTTGAGAATAAACGAATAGTGGAAATCGCAATTCTGAGTTGAATGCAGTGCTTCCTACGCTGCCTAAATGAATTCTAATGAAAAATAATTTCGAACAAGTTTTAGATGAGGGTTTTGCCTTTCCCTAATGGCACATTAAAGAAGAGAAAGGTAAATATAAAGCACAGAGAGAAGGAAATATACAGTGATCACCCACTTTGCGTCCACCGCATTTTTAGTGGAAATCGCAATTCGCTGAGTTGAATGCAGTGCTTCCTACGCTGCCTAAATGAATTCTAATGAAAAATAATTTCGAACAAGTTTTAGATGAGGGTTTTGCCTTTCCCTAATGGCACATTAAAGAAGGGAAAGGTAAATATAAAGCACAGAGAGAAGGGAAATATACAGTGATCACCCACTTTGCGTCCACCGCATTTTTATAGGAAATCGCAATTCGCTGAGTTGAATGCAGTGCTTCCTACGCTGCCTAAATGAATTCTAATGAAAAATAATTTCGAACAAGTTTTAGATGAGGGTTTTGCCTTTCCCTAATGGCACATTAAAGAAGAGAAAGGTAAATATAAAGCACAGAGAGAAGGGAAATATACAGTGATCACCCACTTTGCGTCCACCGCATTTTTAGTGGAAATCGCAATTCGCTGAGTTGAATGCAGTGCTTCCTACGCTGCCTAAATGAATTCTAATGAAAAATAATTTCGAACAAGTTTTAGATGAGGGTTTTGCCTTTCCCTAATGGCACATTAAAGAAGAGAAAGGTAAATATAAAGCACAGAGAGAAGGGAAATATACAGTGATCACCCACTTTGCGTCCACCGCATTTTTAGTGGAAATCGCAATTCGCTGAGTTGAATGCAGTGCTTCCTACGCTGCCTAAATGAATTCTAATGAAAAATAATTTCGAACAAGTTTTAGATGAGGGTTTTGCCTTTCCCTAATGGCACATTAAAGAAGAGAAAGGTAAATATAAAGCACAGAGAGAAGGGAAATATACAGTGATCACCCACTTTGCGTCCACCGCATTTTTAGTGGAAATCGCAATTCGCTGAGTTGAATGCAGTGCTTCCTACGCTGCCTAAATGAATTCTAATGAAAAATAATTTCGAACAAGTTTTAGATGAGGGTTTTGCCTTTCCCTAATGGCACATTAAAGAAGAGAAAGGTAAATATAAAGCACAGAGAGAAGGGAAATATACAGTGATCACCCACTTTGCGTCCACCGCATTTTTAGTGGAAATCGCAATTCGCTGAGTTGAATGCAGTGCTTCCTACGCTGCCTAAATGAATTCTAATGAAAAATAATTTCGAACAAGTTTTAGATGAGGGTTTTGCCTTTCCCTAATGGCACATTAAAGAAGAGAAAGGTAAATATAAAGCACAGAGAGAAGGGAAATATACAGTGATCACCCACTTTGCGTCCACCGCATTTTTAGTGGAAATCGCAATTCGCTGAGTTGAATGCAGTGCTTCCTACGCTGCCTAAATGAATTCTAATGAAAAATAATTTCGAACAAGTTTTAGATGAGGGTTTTGCCTTTCCCTAATGGCACATTAAAGAAGAGAAAGGTAAATATAAAGCACAGAGAGAAGGGAAATATACAGTGATCACCCACTTTGCGTCCACCGCATTTTTAGTGGAAATCGCAATTCGCTGAGTTGAATGCAGTGCTTCCTACGCTGCCTAAATGAATTCTAATGAAAAATAATTTCGAACAAGTTTTAGATGAGGGTTTTGCCTTTCCCTAATGGCACATTAAAGAAGAGAAAGGTAAATATAAAGCACAGAGAGAAGGGAAATATACAGTGATCACCCACTTTGCGTCCACCGCATTTTTAGTGGAAATCGCAATTCGCTGAGTTGAATGCAGTGCTTCCTACGCTGCCTAAATGAATTCTAATGAAAAATAATTTCGAACAAGTTTTTAGATGAGGGTTTTGCCTTTCCCTAATGGCACATTAAAGAAGAGAAAGGTAAATATAAAGCACAGAGAGAAGGGAAATATACAGTGATCACCCACTTTGCGTCCACCGCATTTTTAGTGGAAATCGCAATTCGCTGAGTTGAATGCAGTGCTTCCTACGCTGCCTAAATGAATTCTAATGAAAAATAATTTCGAACAAGTTTTAGATGAGGGTTTTGCCTTTCCCTAATGGCACATTAAAGAAGAGAAAGGTAAATATAAAGCACAGAGAGAAGGGAAATATACAGTGATCACCCACTTTGCGTCCACCGCATTTTTAGTGGAAATCGCAATTCGCTGAGTTGAATGCAGTGCTTCCTACGCTGCCTAAATGAATTCTAATGAAAAATAATTTCGAACAAGTTTTAGATGAGGGTTTTGCCTTTCCCTAATGGCACAT